GTGCTGGGAACACTACGATGTCAAAGGGGAACTGGGTCCGACGTTTTAATGTGGCTGGGATCTGGGGGGGGCGGCGGCTCAGGTTTGGGAGAAAAAAGAATCTCTTTACTACAAAAGGGAAATATCGGGTCTGTTTAGACTTCTGCTATTTCCCCAAAAGTTACGTTAAAAAAAAAAGCCGCCACCCCAATTCTAAAAAAAAGGTGGGAAGAAGTTTTCTTCCGGACCAATTCTGGCACAGGAGGTGCGCTGTGGTGCCATGCAATTCAATGCACCCCAACGGCCAACTAATTGATTATGACAATAATTGTTAGTTCCCTGTAAAGCTGCATCTCCATAATATGAGCCTGTGAAGCTGCAGCAGCTATCTTGAGCCCGCCTTCATTTCCTGTCTGAACGATGGCTTTCTCTGCCATCATTTTCCCTCTTCATCAGCTGTGGGTGTGAGCTTTAGCGCTGGCATTGGACACTTCTGCTGTTCCCTAATCCATCCCCGGCATGCCTTTAGATGTGCACCCCAGCTTGGGTGCTGCAGACTTTAGCTGTGCGATCTGCTGATCATTTGCCTGATAACACTAATAGAATGATCAGCAGATTGCACAGCTAAAGTCTGCAGGGATGGATGTCATGGGTGTGTTCTTTCTATAACGCTGAAGGCGGGTGCTGTAATGTTTACAGGAGCTTACTGGCACCGCTCAGTAATAAGCTGCAGGAGCTTAAGGCCCCGCCCAGTAATAAGCTACAGGAGCTTAAGGCCCCGCCCAGTGATAAGCTACAGGAGCTTACTGGCCCCGCCCAGTGATAAGCTCCTGTAGCTTATTACTGGGCGGGGCCAGTAAGATCCTGTAGCTTATCGCTGGGCGGGGCCAGTAAGATCCTGTAGCTTATCGCTGGGCGGGGCCAGTAAGATCCTGTAGCTTATCGCTGGGCGGGGCCAGTAAGATCCTGTAGCTTATCGCTGGGCGGGGCCAGTAAGATCCTGTAGCTTATCGCTGGGCGGGGCCAGTAAGATCCTGTAGCTTATCGCTGGGCGGGGCCAGTAAGATCCTGTAGCTTATCGCTGGGCGGGGCCAGTAAGATCCTGTAGCTTATCGCTGGGCGGGGCCAGTAAGATCCTGTAGCTTATCGCTGGGCGGGGCCAGTAAGATCCTGTAGCTTATCGCTGGGCGGGGCCAGTAAGATCCTGTAGCTTATCGCTGGGCGGGGCCAGTAAGCTACAGGAGCTTATCGCCCAGTGATAAGCTACAGGAGCTTACTGACCCTGCCCAGTGATAAGCTACAGGAGCTTACTGACCCCGCCCAGTGATAAGCTAACTCCATTCACAAGGGTGAATGGGGCCTAAACATTGTACTATGGCGGCTTGCTGGTCCTGGCGGCCATGACCTATGACCTCACTATCTTTAATTCTGTCAATCTGTTGTCAGGTATTCTCCTTTGTTAGAGGAGGAGTTCTAAGAGACTCTGGGCCAATCACGTGGGAGGATGAGAAGCCGGTCACATGTTCCCTCATACCTGGCAGTACTGAGGACTATCCTCTCTCTCCTTGCATTGGCAGAGCAGAGAATTGCCGGTGACAAAGGAAGCCCTGGGGTGCATTTTGCTGTCGCAGCCATGTTGGCTGGTCATGTGACACAATGCCAAGGCGTGGATCAGCTGATGTCTGCCGCAGCGAGGTGCCCAAGCACGAATGGCTGATTGTCCCCTTGGGCAGACATTGTTACCAGCAGTGTCACACTCCTGCCGCCCATGATCCTATATGTCTCGGGTGCGGCCCTCCAGCTGTGGTGAAACTACAAATCCCATCATTCAGCTGCCTCTGGGAGTCATGCCTGTGGCTGTCACAGCCTTGCAATGCATCATGGGACTTGTAGTTCCACCCCGGCTGGCATATGCCTATGAGGGAATCCCATGCTGAAGGCACACTTGTATTGTGAGCTGATGTGCTGATCCTCTGGCTTCACTACGGCCCTGAATAAAGCATGCAGCCAGTGAAGTCACAACACTGGACCTGCGTGCTTTTTTGGGGGTTTTAGTTGCACAAAGTAATGAAGCCTGAGGATCACCATGAGGGGGGAGGATCAGTGATGACCATTATCTTTCAGCAAAGCCTTCTCTTTGGGCCCCTTTAGGGGTGTGAGCCTCCAGTCTGGCCCCGTCCTCGCTCAGTATTAATAGCTGGCAGCGGGGAAGAGAGGGGCCGGGCGCTGCTTAGTATGCGGGTGGCAGCACTCTGCAAGGGGGGGCATTGTGCAAGGGGGGCCGCCTGTTCATATGGGGGGCCAGCGCTCTGCCCAAAAGTGATCATCACTCCGGTCACACCACGGGTCTCCGTGACCTGAGCTGGCTGTGGCGCCCACCCTGGGACAATCATGCCCCCCCTCCCTGTTTGTATGGCAGTATGAGCGCCCCCGATGTGCCCCTTCCTCGCCTGTATGCCAGTATGAGCGCCCCAATGTGCCCCTTCCTCGCTTGTATGCCAGTATGAGCGCCCCAATGTCCCCCTTCCTCGCTTGTATGCCAGTATGAGCGCCCCAATGTCCCCCTTCCTCGCTTGTATGCCAGTATGAGCGCCCCAATGTCCCCCTTCCTCGCTTGTATGCCAGTATGAGCGCCCCAATGTCCCCCTTCCTCGCTTGTATGCCAGTATGAGCGCCCCAATGTCCCCCTTCCTCGCTTGTATGCCAGTATGAGCGCCCCAATGTCCCCCTTCCTCGCTTGTATGCCAGTATGAGCGCCCCAATGTCCCCCTTCCTCGCTTGTATGCCAGTATGAGCGCCCCAATGTCCCCCTTCCTCGCTTGTATGCCAGTATGAGCGCCCCAATGTCCCCCTTCCTCGCTTGTATGCCAGTATGAGCGCCCCAATGTCCCCCTTCCTCGCTTGTATGCCAGTATGAGCGCCCCAATGTCCCCCTTCCTCGCTTGTATGCCAGTATGAGCGCCCCAATGTCCCCCTTCCTCGCTTGTATGCCAGTATGAGCGCCCCAATGTCCCCCTTCCTCGCTTGTATGCCAGTATGAGCGCCCCAATGTCCCCCTTCCTCGCTTGTATGCCAGTATGAGCGCCCCAATGTCCCCCTTCCTCGCTTGTATGCCAGTATGAGCGCCCCAATGTCCCCCTTCCTCGCTTGTATGCCAGTATGAGCGCCCCAATGTCCCCCTTCCTCGCTTGTATGCCAGTATGAGCGCCCCAATGTCCCCCTTCCTCGCTTGTATGCCAGTATGAGCGCCCCAATGTCCCCCTTCCTCGCTTGTATGCCAGTATGAGCGCCCCAATGTCCCCCTTCCTCGCTTGTATGCCAGTATGAGCGCCCCAATGTCCCCCTTCCTCGCTTGTATGCCAGTATGAGCGCCCCAATGTCCCCCTTCCTCGCTTGTATGCCAGTATGAGCGCCCCAATGTCCCCCTTCCTCGCTTGTATGCCAGTATGAGCGCCCCAATGTCCCCCTTCCTCGCTTGTATGCCAGTATGAGCGCCCCAATGTCCCCCTTCCTCGCTTGTATGCCAGTATGAGCGCCCCAATGTCCCCCTTCCTCGCTTGTATGCCAGTATGAGCGCCCCAATGTCCCCCTTCCTCGCTTGTATGCCAGTATGAGCGCCCCAATGTCCCCCTTCCTCGCTTGTATGCCAGTATGAGCGCCCCAATGTCCCCCTTCCTCGCTTGTATGCCAGTATGAGCGCCCCAATGTCCCCCTTCCTCGCTTGTATGCCAGTATGAGCGCCCCAATGTCCCCCTTCCTCGCTTGTATGCCAGTATGAGCGCCCCAATGTCCCCCTTCCTCGCTTGTATGCCAGTATGAGCGCCCCAATGTCCCCCTTCCTCGCTTGTATGCCAGTATGAGCGCCCCAATGTCCCCCTTCCTCGCTTGTATGCCAGTATGAGCGCCCCAATGTCCCCCTTCCTCGCTTGTATGCCAGTATGAGCGCCCCAATGTCCCCCTTCCTCGCTTGTATGCCAGTATGAGCGCCCCAATGTCCCCCTTCCTCGCTTGTATGCCAGTATGAGCGCCCCAATGTCCCCCTTCCTCGCTTGTATGCCAGTATGAGCGCCCCAATGTCCCCCTTCCTCGCTTGTATGCCAGTATGAGCGCCCCAATGTCCCCCTTCCTCGCTTGTATGCCAGTATGAGCGCCCCAATGTCCCCCTTCCTCGCTTGTATGCCAGTATGAGCGCCCCAATGTCCCCCTTCCTCGCTTGTATGCCAGTATGAGCGCCCCAATGTCCCCCTTCCTCGCTTGTATGCCAGTATGAGCGCCCCAATGTCCCCCTTCCTCGCTTGTATGCCAGTATGAGCGCCCCAATGTCCCCCTTCCTCGCCTGTATGCCCACCTGTTTTCCTGTCCCACTTCAAACACACAAGAACATACAGAGAGGGGCGGGACACAGGGAGATCATTGGCATCTGTACATCCCTGAGCCCCGCCTACCTGCCCCCTCCCACACACAAGAACAGTGATTATATATTAACAAACATGTATTTATTATATACATTAGATGTCTTATTTATCATTTTATATATGCATTCAATATGATTCTTATTACGCATTATTCTGTACCTAATATCGTCCTCCATTGTGTGCAGCTGCATCTCCAACTGTCCACAGCTGCATCTCCACCTGTCCACATCCATCATTAGCAGCGTTAAGCCCCGCCCACCCATTGATTGAGCCTTGTCCCCTACCTGTCATTCACTCACTACTCCCCGCCCCTTTCCATTGGTTATTTACGGCAGATGGCCGCGCCCACTAGTCGTCCACTCCCCACAAGCTTTACTTCCGTGGATGTCAATCAACTGGTACCGCCCGCTCACATTGTGAAGATAACTCCTCCCAGCTGCTGTCACTCACCTGTCTGTGTCACTCTCGCCCAGAGCAGCTGGCCCCTCCCAGCAGCTGTCAATCAGCGATTCCCACCCGCCTCTCCCGGGGACCCCTCGGTGATTGGCCGGGCAGGGTCACATGCGTCTCCCCCTTTACAGACTAGCAGAAGTTGGAGAGGAAGGAAAGAAAGCTGAGCGTTCCGGGGGAAGCAGGTGAGAGAAGTAGGGGCCCTCACTGGGTGCAAGCTGGGGGCCCAGTCTCATGTAGAGGCAGACTGTGTTCTCCGGGGGGGAAGAGGACCTGTCACCATTTGCAGCATGTGTGAAAAAAGTGTCCTGTGTGAGAAGAGAGTCAGTGGGCGGAGCGGGGACCGGGACCGCCCCTCACTGGGTTCACAGTTCTGGCAGAGCTGCTGGTGTCTCCATGGAGACGGCTCCTCCCCTTCCTGTACTGAGCTGAAGAGTCATTGCAGTGGGAAACAGACAGACATAGAAAAGCACTAAGTTCTAAAAAGGGAGACACAGGGACCAATATAAGATTTATTTCAGACCTGGTATCACTTCTCTATGTATGGACTCTGCACAGTACCACTTCTCATGTCCTGTATGCCGGGTGTCATTCTCGGTATCTGTTCTTATTCTGTATGTATGGACTCTGCACAGTACCACTTCTCTTGTCCTGTATGCCGGGTGTCATTCTCAGTATCTGTTCTTATTCTGTATGTATGGACTCTGCACAGTACCACTTCTCTTGTCCTGTATGCCGGGTGTAGATCTCGGTATCTGGTGTCCTCTGTTTGTGTCTCGGTGTTTGGATTATTTTTCCCTTTTATGGTCTCTTTATGATGGAGAGCAGAGCCGTGTGCAGTCTGGGCTCTCGTTAGGGGTGATCGGTGATCCTCTGTCGTCGTGG